ACATTCTCTAAATAAAACTGTGAACCAGATTCAAACTTTTTAAAATTTTTGCCAAAAAAAATCAATTTAAGAACTTCTCATCTTCATATGTGCCATGCATTGGTACGGCATAACGTCTCATATAGTAGTGTTAAAGTTGGTTTAGGTTGTTTTTAAGAGTAGCAATTCAGTTTTTAACCTGGAGTTCAATTTCACTCCTGCCACTGCTCTCGGGATATTTTGCCAGAGACAAAGCATTCCTGTCCTTGTTCCTACTGGGCTGTCTGCTGCCAACTAATAACTACTTAACTTACTAGGTATCATTAAAAGAAATCTCTTTCAGGAACTCTCCAGAACTGTGAAGATTTACATCTCAAACATCTGGCACTTCTCAATCCATCTGTGAGGATATTTTAAATTCTTTATTGGAAAGGTGCACAAAATAGTACTGATAATTTCTCATGTTTCAGAATTTACAAATCAACCCACAGCTAATTACAGAGAGGAGACATTCCTCTGGTCAGTAACTTTTACCCTAACCATAAGACTTAATTCATCCTTCCTGTAAAGCAATCAGTGAAAGATTTTACTTATGGTAGCAATATATTGTACTTGGTTTTCAAAAAAATTGGCCGGATATGTTATAATTGATTTAAAAGCACATTTTAGTGTGAATCTTAAACATTAGTTTATAGAAGAATAAAGCTGTAATGTCATTTACTTACTTCTCATGTATTTATTAGAAGTGGTTTTTTTTTTTTGGAGTATTTTAATTTTACACTGATATTATAAAGATGTCTGCTATAGCCTGTGACAGACAGACTTCTATCCATAGGAAAAACCAAAGAAGAGTCTTGAAATGACTCCAGGAAACCTCCCCAAAAGAACAAATAGCACATAACAATTATTAAAAAGGCATTTTTAACTGGAGTAGATACTTTTATATTCATTGTCATTTTTTATCTTGTAAATCACCTACATAAATCATCCTTCTTTCCTATTTCTTCACATATATGGGCCACTGTTTCACTATGGCAGTGTTCTGCTTCTAGTAAGAGTCCATAAAAGTACCAAACAGTTCTCTGCCCCCAAATTTCATTAGTTAAAACACCAAGAAATCACATCTTATGGCCAAGTATTCCAAAAAGCTTCATAGTGACATTTGTTTTCATAACTTTTAGAATAGTTCCTAATAGTTACTTAGACAAATTAACTTTTGGAGCAGTATTTACCTTGAATATATAATCTAACATAAAGACAATCATATTCACAAACAACATCTATGTGAATCACTCAATATGTTAATAACCTAAAACCAGGTGTTGAATGCCCATGTATGACTCAAATGGGATGGTGCTTTGTTATTTATGTTTTGAATTTTATGTGAGAAACAGGGGCTACCTAATGAAGACACATTCAGAAATTTGAACAGTCTGTTGAAAAAAATTCTTAGACTCTCCAACAATCTTATTCTTCATGTTGAACAAAAAACTTTTAAGAAAATAGGCAACATCAACTCTTGGGAGTCAGTCATAGAACCTTCAATTATTCTGGAACCAAAGTAAACAATCCTTCTAAGACAAACAGATCCTCTCAAAACTGCACTCTTCTAATTAAACATTACTACAATTAACCCTGATTACAGACATAAAGAATTCTACATTGTCTCCACGTCTTTTACTTGTATGAAAGTTTTAAATGAGAAAAGCCAGAAAGTTTTCATATCCAAATACCATCAGTTAATGACCATGCATTATTCTCAAATGTCCTGAAGACTATTTCCTAAGTTGTTTAGTTAAATGGTCCATAAAATTTTTAAAAAATTATCCTGTATGATAAAATCAGCTTAGCAAGCAAATCCATGTAATTATTTGTCTAACTTCTTAGGTTTTGACTTATATTAAATATCAAGCAATCCTTTATAAAATAATCACTTTTATAAAATACCAGCTGATGACACATGATGAATAGAAAAAAAAATTAATTACTATGTTTTTAGCTTTAGTAAAATTGTAATTTTAGATTATAAAATTGAATGAACAACCTTATTGCCATTATCAGGCACTGTCCTAGGCACTAAAAAAAAAATGGGCTCTAGGCAGACACGGCCCTTCCCTCTCCAAGCTTTATGGTTTGTATTTTCTAAAGACGTTTGTGTCGCAGATTTTCACTTGTATTCTGTTTTTTGCTAAAACTCTCACAATCCGTTTATTGTGAGAATAATTACAGAACTGTCTCATGAGGTTCAGTCTTGGGTGATTAAATATCACTCCAACAGAGAAAAAGAATGAGAAGACAGGCAGATAACATGTGGAAGTATTCAGCAAACAAGCTTTTTCCGAAAAAAGTTATGATCTGAAGTCCGCAATACTCCTTCTAGCAGTTCATATATGTTCTCCTTTTAATAGAGAAGCAATTGTGCTCAAGTAGTTTTTATATAATTGCTTAAGCTATATATTATAATGTATACAGACAGATTACTCAAATTCTTCCTTTGCATTCTATAAGGAATTATATACACACACTCACGTCTACATATATTTGAGGAATGCATCAGCTCTTATCAGATAGCTGTCTTAGCATCAATAGCATTTTCTATAAAAGAATGAATCACTCATCATTTAAAGAAAGTGTGGTTATTCAGATCATTAGGGAACCTGGTACATGAAGTTACTAAATTCACTCATGTAACTAATTTTCACTGGTAGTTTAAGATGGCTAAGAAGGAAAAACAAAAGACCTCATATATAGCAATGCCAAATACCCAAAATACATTAATTCTATCTCAAAAAGAGAATTCATGTGATTTATTCACTGCTTGATTTGAAACACCCATATTTTTATGTCCTAGACCACTACTATGACTTAGATTTTTCTTAAGGATTAGAAAAGTATAAATCTGTAACGGGAAACACTCTAATTATTAGAGAAGGTATTTTCACTATTACAACCTTTGCCAAAACATTTGCATTCAATATAAAGCAACATCTTCAGAAACACCATTTACAAAGAGAAACTTGAAACACTATTAAACTCCTTAATTGTAGTTATCTTTCCACCTTTTCATAATTTTGCATAGAAAATATCATATTAAAAAATGTCTGTATACTCACCTCCTTGAATGAAAGCTAGTTTTCCGGGTAGAGGAGATAGCACAGTGGCAAAACTGATGTGCAGGGAGAATGTTAAGGTCCACACACACGGGTGGACTCACACGGGTCCACACAAAGTTTTACCGCACTGTCATTTGGCATAGCAATGACAGAGTTATTGAACTGCTAAAATAAAACCACGTAAGGGGGAAAAAAAAACCAACCTCAGACACAAAAGTTCTCACCAGTGTCTGTTAGTAGTATGCCAGAGACACAACTTGGTTTTATAAAACCATAAACTTGTCCAAAGTGTTTTCTTTGAATATATTTTGATGGCATTGAAACAAATGTCTAAATAGTACTACACAATTTTGCTGCAGAAAATCATTTAAACAGCAATATTGGGGGTGGGGAGGGAGGGTCTTCTGGAATATTCTTTAAATATCTTGACACTGCAGTGGTTCTATTAGTCATTGGTGACCGTGAATGATCTAATCCATTATTTCATGAGATCCAAAATGGAGATTTTTGAATTCTATCCTTCTTTCAACACCCATTAGTTGGAGCTCTTGTATAAAGATTACATTTTTTATCAAAAGTATTGATAGCTCAAAATAAAGTGTGCTCAAGAAAAAAAAAGTACACTGTTACCATTAAAACATAAATCTATGTTTTTATAACCATCACTAACATATTATTAAAGTACTCAAGCTACTTTATTTTAACATAAATATAGTTTCACTATCTGCAATTATAATAAATACCATATTGGGGATACATTATATAGTTTTTAGAAATTAAAGCTGGTTTAGAAAGTTTTGCCATATTTACATACTACTGCTGTTTTAGTTCCTTACGGAAATTTAGTCAAGTTAATTACGAATCCATTTGGATAGAGATAAAAACAGAATTTCTGAAGTAGACATTCGTGCACCAAAGAAGGAATGGATATTTACTTTTACGTTGTATCACTCTATATTGTCATGCAGACACTTTAAAATAATTATATCATTTCCTACCATGTAATTGTACCTTCTAAACTTACCCTAAGCAAACCATGACAAGTACAAACAGGTCTGATTGAGGGAAGAGCGGTGGCAAGCCCCTATGCCAAAACAAATATATTTAGAAAAATGAGGCCTATGTCTATAATTATATTTGGCACAAAAATGTAATGTCAGAGACATACATAAAATATTTAACAGAACTGAAACACACATACTGGCTCAAAAAAATGTGTGTTGTAAGTATATTTATTTATACTTTAGGCATTTCAGGATTGAAATATCAAAGCAAAGTAAGATAGTAATTATAAAATTTAAGGAGGACAGTACCTGAATTCTCTTTTGCACCTAAAACCACCGCCAGGTCTCAAAGATTTTCGAGAGAAGCAGTTCGCCCGCAGTATGAGTTCACAGGCAGTGTCTACACAGAATTTTCACATTGGGAATTTTCCAGGTTTCAGGAATGTCCCACTCTTGGGGGAGCCAACGTATTGTTTCTGGATTGTCTCAGGAGCTGGGGTTTTTCATTCTAATTAGTGACTGTAAGTTGTAATTGTACTGTCATCAAAACATTAACCCTTTCTATAATATTTATTTTGTCTGAATAAAAATGAGACTTGTCATCCTACCAGCCTCTAATGTTCAGAAGAAATTGTTGGTGCTGCTAATTTTGGAACCCGAACTGCTCAAAAGTGGCGGGCACTCAAAAACATGTGTTATTCTCTGTGACCCTTGAGGTGGCCCTTACTTTACCATCATCAATACCGAGACAGTATCTTTTCCATCTGGGTATTCGTACTAGCCTAACTTCTAGGGCGTTAGCCCTCAAAAGCAGGTGTCCTCAGAATCTGTAACAAAACACAGATTTTCACAGGAAGGAACCCGAGTACACACACACACACACACACACACACACACACTTTACCTGTTTTTATGCCGAGTCTTTAGCAAGTTTCTTCCAAAGGGAGCCATGGTCCGTGGGGCTAGTGAGTAATCAGAAGCGGATCCTCCAGTGATCTGGGCGGGGGGAGGGGGAGGAGAATCTGGATTTCTGGGGTGAAAGCAGGAGGGCTGAGCGCTTTCTCTTCACCTCCTCAGATGTTCGCGGCTTTCAGCTCATTACTGGCTGCTGAGAGAGTTGCTGGAAGTTGTGCAACTGCTGCTTAACTTTTAACTGCTGGATTGTTGTGGCTGCTGCACCTTTGGAGACCTGCCCAGCTCCAGCCTCGAAGAAGGCGTTTGGAAGCAGGAAAAGAAAAAAAAAAAAGAGAGAGGAGAGAGAAAGAGGAGAGAGGAAGGGAGGGGACGCTATTGTGTTCTGAAGTTATTTACAGACTAGCTAAACTTTAAGAACTCTCAACCCCGCAGGCGTGGTAATAATACCCATGGCACGGGAATTTTATTCGATTTGGAAACCCCCCTCACACACTTTCCACACCCAGCCACACAAGTGTACTAAACACACACAAAAGGATTAAAAGTAAATACCCCCCGCCTCCAGGCCAGCTCCAATCTTCCAAAAGTAATCTGATCTCGGCAAACGTAAATGAGGGCCAAGAAAACTTTGCCTACGGTTTTACTCCAAAATTCCCTGCCCAGGATGTCAGCGCTTGAAAACACGTTAAGAGCAAACGAAGAAGCTGGAGATTGTATCGAGGGAGACTCACACAACGCTGGGGATTTCAAATTCCTCAACTCATGCTTTCAAGATCTTCCTCCAGCCCCTTCGTCCACACTCTCAAGTTCATCTCCCAAGAGCTAAAGGACAAAAGCGCTCCGAGGCTGATTGAGTACAACCTTGGCCTTGGAACCAGCTGGGGTTTTACGCCGCCGACCCTGCTTCATCTTTGGCATTTACTGAATCTTTAGGGCCATGGGAGTTGCAGAGCAAAAGCAAACTGTTCCCGTGCTCAAGTAGTAAAGCGAGAGAAGGGCACACCAAGAAGACTCACGCAACTCCCAGTGAGCAGGGAAGACCGCGGGGAGGGCGCCTTCACCTGATTCCCTGAGAGTGCGAACCCCCAACCCAGGCAGCTGGCGGGGATACAGACCCTCGAGGGAGGGAGACAGCTGAAGGCCCCATGCAGCCCCCACCCTGAGCCCCGCACCCTCCACCCTGAGTTCCGCAGCACCCACCCTGCGCCCCGCAACGGCCACCCTGAGCCCCGCAGTCCCCACCCTGTGCTCCGCAACCCCCACCCTGCGCCCCGCAGCACCCACCCTGCGCCCCACAACCGCGCGGCTCTGGGAAAGCGTGGTCTGGGGGCGAGCGAGCGCCGGGAGAGTTTTCCCAGGACCTTATTTATGGGACTTCAACCCCCACCCCCTGCCCATTCCCACCCCCACCCACTCTTCAAATCAAGGGCTTCCGCAGCGGAAGGTGAGGAAGGGAGGGACCGAGAAGAAAGCCAACAGACTGGGGGTACTTTATAAATTACGCCCTGGCTGGGGAGACTGGGGACCTAGGCTGAGAGAGTGAATGGCCCACACTTTCTTTGGGAGCTCATCCCTCTCCCCCCAAGGACACCAAACAGAAAGTAATCTCGAAAGTTTCTGTAATTCTTGTTGGCCTTGAGATTCATGCAGTATTCTACAGCACGCAAATAAATCATTTTATCATTATTACAATTCGTCTGTAGTTCGCTACAGTTTATGTATATTTCTATATGTATACGCACATGTGCGTTATCTACACTACACAATGTTTTGTTTCTTTACACTTTTATATAATTTCTTCTATACGATATCTATATGTACTCCCAAATTATTATGAAGTAAACAAATGATGGTAGCCAAGGTTATCATTAAATTACCTTTTTTATATTCCTGGGAGAAAATTTTAAAATACATATCCATCTTAAAATGGATTGATTGTCAATGGTTGCAGAAAAAAAAAAATAACTTTATTGGGCAGCGCCTGTGGCTCAAGGAGTAGGGCACCGGCCCCATATACCAGAGGTGGAAGGTTCAAACTTGGCCCCAGCCAAAAAAACAAAAAAAACAAAAAAAACCAACCCTGCAACCTCCCCCCCCAAAAAATCTTTATTTTATTTATTTATTTTAATTTGTATTTTATCTATGTATTTATGTATTTACTTTTTGAGACAGTCTCACTACGCCTCTTAGGCTACAAAGCCCTGGCCTCAGCCTACCTTACAGCAATCTCAGTCTCCTGGGTTCAGGGGATCCTCCTGCCTCAGCCTCCTGAGTAGCTGGGACTACCGGAGCTGCCAGGATGGCTCCCTGAGTTTTCTATTTTTAGTAGAGGCAGCATCTGGTTCTTGTTCAGGCTGGCCTCAAACTCCCCAGTTCAAATGATCCTCCTCCTCACCCTGCCTGACTGCTAGGATTACATGTGGGAGCCACCGCTCCACCCCAGGGAAGATCTGAAGGTTTTAAAACACTGCAAGTAGGAATGACAGATGTTGTTGTATAAACACATATGTAAACATCTTTATGTATATAAACATAAATACGTATGTGTGTATACATTTTCCACATATATGTTAGATGCCATGTAAACTACAGAGTGTTGGGTTTACTCACTCATGTTTCTTTTCCTGATTTTATTTTATTTTACTAGCACTTCTAAAATATGATTTAGGCTCGGCACCAGTGTTCAGTGGTTAGGGCCCCGGCCACATACACTGGGGCTGGCGGGTTCAAACCCAACCTGGGCCTGCTAAACAGCAAGGCCAACTATAACAAAAAATTTAAAAAAGTAGCCAGGCGTTGTGGCAGGCGCCTGTAGTCCCAGCTACTTGGGAGGCTGAGGCAAGAGAATTGCTTACGT